CAGCAGCAGCGGCAGCAGCACTCACATAGCCAGGGAGAATCTTGGTGGGCATGGCAGCACGCGCTGCTTCCTGCTCCTTGCTTGGGCCCTTCTCCCCGCCCGCCTGTGCCTCTGACAGCGCAGAGATCTCAGGAGGCAGCGCATTCGCACCTGCCCCTTCCGCCCCACCAGCACTTTTAGACAACGGCACCTTGAGCTGCTGCCCTGGTTCCCCTCTGCCCTGCCCCTCCGCCGTCCCTGCCAGCAACCCCCCAAACTCCTCCTGTGCTGCTGGCTCTGCTGCAGCTGCTGCTGCGGCTGCGGGTTGCATCTGCAAGGGGCCTGCGGATGGCGGCGGCAGCATGGGCCTTTGCTTGCCTGCCCCTGCTGCTGTTGCTTCCGCCTGTGCAGGTTGAGCAGCTTGGAAGGACGGCTCTGCAGAGAAGGGAACGTCGTCCCCAAATAGCTCCTTGCTCTCCCCCACCACCTCTGCTCCCACCGCTCCACCTGCACCCGCTGCTGCTGCCGCTGCGGCGTTGGCGGCTGCAGCAGCTGCAGCAGCACCGGCGTCCAGCCCTGCAGCGCCCTGTTGCCCCGGCGGCAGCATGGGCTTGGCATAGCCTAGCGCAACAGCCTGCGCGGGCACGCCTCCCCCTGCCCCCATGCCCAGCGCGCCCAGCCCCGGGGGGGTGGCCCACACAGGACCGCCAGCAGCAGGAGCCACGCCATTGGCTGCTGGTTGGGCGGCGGCAGCAGCAGCAGCGTCCCCAAAGGGCACGATGGCGAGGCCGGAGGAGTCAGACTCGAACTGCTGCCACCCGAACTCGTCCGTGGGGGCAGACGATGGCGCCTTGCCTGGCGCGCCCAGAATGAGCGTCTTGGACGCCGCCTTGAGCCGCCCCACATCCACCACTCCTGCCCGCGCGTCCTGGTGCAGAAACGAAGGAGATGCACGTGGGGGGGGGGAGAGAGAGATCGAACGGGAGGAAAACATAGGGGGTGAATGAGAAACGGGTGGAAAGGGTGTGGTGACAAGAAGTGGAGAAGAGTTTGGAAGAAGTTGGAAGACGAGGAAAGAAGGTGGTGATGCGTCCACCAGCTCACACACTCAAAGAGTGGCATCAGCTGCCGGCAAAGCTCCAAAAAGGGTAGAGCCATGTGCATGTGCACATACCTTGTCCTTGATCTTGATGCTGAACCTGCTGCGGCGGGACGTGGTGGACATGGTGTCATCGTCACTATCGCTGTCAAACGCCTCCCCTGCCCCGTACATACTCGTCTTGAACTCCGCTGCCGCCCTCTGCTGCGCCTCCTCCGCCGTCTCCTCCCCACTCGCCACCGCCCCTCCCGCTGCTGCCGACGCCCCTTCAGCCCCGGGCAGGAAGCTGGCAACAGCTGCGGCCATGATCTCTGCCTCGGTGGCCTTCTTTTTCTTCTTCTTCTCCTCCTTCTTCGCCTCCTCCTTCTTCATCTCGAGAATCTCTGTGACCACGCCCTTGCCGCGCGCCACACCCAGGTACACCCCCACGCTGTCCGCCATGATAATGGGGATGGCGCCGCCCTCTGTCTTCATGTACGCCGTCACCTCATTCCCAAACGTCCACGACTGGCTCATCTCCGCTTGAGGCTTCAGCCCCCCTGCTGCCGCCGCCGCCGCCGTAACCGCCCCCGCTGCCCCTACATTCGCCCCTCCCGCCGCCCCAGCAGCAGCAGCGACAGCAGCGTCCGCAGCAGCAGCAGGCTTGGCTTCAGATGGGTCAGGGGCGACGAGCACGGTCCAGTTCCCGCCAGCCCAGTCGGCAGGCTTGGGAGCGAGCGCCTCCTGTGCGATGGCAGAGAGCACGCCGCCCTGGTTCCACAGCGACGAGCGCACCTTGAGCACCTGCATGCACTCGCGCTCCAGCTCCGGCTGCGCCTCACTCTCCTCCAGTGTGGCGGCGAGGCGGCGCAGCGCGGAGGGGTTCATGTGTGCAATGAAGAGGTCGTACATGGCCTCGTAGTCCCCCACCACCTCAAAGGTCGCCTTCGCCTTGTCAAACTGTGCAAACCTGGTGTGGTCAGGGGGGGGGGCGGGATGAACGAGCGAGTTGGCATTTATGTAGTGGAATTGATTTGGAGGAGGAGCGGAGGGGGTGGCAGGGGGAGGGAGAAAGAGGTGGTGAGAGTCGTAAGAGAAAGAAAATCGGAGGTTCAAAGCGGAAGTGACGGGAGTGCGGGCAGGAGGAGGGAAAGGGAGGAAGAGGGGGGGAAAGAGAGGAGGCTCACGTGATGCAGCGGCGACCGAGCTGCCTGAAGCGGTGGAAGAGGCGTGAGGAGGGTGGGCAGCGCGGGTAAGCGGTGGAGTGGTGGAAGTCAGTGGTGAGAATGTCCAGGGCCTTGTCAAAGTTGCGCGCTCTCATCGCACTCATCACCCGCACCTCCTGCTCCCACCAGTGCACACCAAGAGCCGTGGAGGGGGGAAGAGGAGGGGGGAAACGTGAGGGAGCAGAGCGGATTGGAAGCATGTGCGCAAAGGAAGAAGCGCGGAGGATAGGAGGGAGCGGAGTGTGTAAAGAGATTATGAGGCAAGGGGAAGAACAAGGGAATTAGTGCGATGGTGCACGAGACAGTGATGCATGGTGGCGTTGGCTGGGCCAAAGTCCTGCATTGGAGAATCATGCAGCAAGGTTGAGCAAAGCACATGGAGGAAAACGTATGGTAGCAGGAAAGGCACGGTGGTGCAATGACATGCAGGGCCAAACCCACCGAGTTAAACTGCGGGCCGGTTTCAGAGAGCTCGAGCGCCAGCTGGCAGCAGATGGTTGGTCCGCGGCTGAGCAGCTCCACGAGGCGCGGAGTGAGGCGCATGACGTCAAAGCTGTGGGCGATGAGGCAGGCGGGTAAGGTAGGGCGGGGGGGAAGACAGGCGGGGGGGAAGACAGGCGGGGGTGGCGGGAGGGTGGGGGCGAAGAGGAATGCGAGGGTGGGGGAGACGAGGGAGGTGATGGTGGGAGGGGGTAGTGGCATGGCAGTATTAGGTGACAAGGCGGTGGTGAGGGTGCGAAGTTGCATGGTGTGGCAGAACAAGGCAAGAGACCCTGTGGGAATGTGCTGCGCCTGCAGCCATGACAGCTGCAGACACAAGTTCCCTACCTTCCGCGCCTGCCCCTACCTACTCGCACCTTTCCCCATGCGCAGCATCAAAGCGCGTGGAGACAAGGTGCACGGCGAGCCTTAGGAGCCACAGGAAGCAACAGGGAGCAGTCAGCAGTAGCTCCCAAGCACACTCAGCCACACAGAGCACAGAGCAGAGCAGACGTACCGGGAGATGAGCTGGGAGATGAGTCGGGGCAGGTGCAGCATGGGGTGCGGCCCCTGGGAGTGCACGAGTGACACCCAGCCCGCAAGCAGTGGCTCCAGCAGCCCTGTGAGGCGCTGCTGCACGTCCACTGTCGCCACTCGCCCCACTGCCACCGACGCCCCCGTTGCCACCACCAGCCGGTCGTTCAGTGCCGCCAGCAGCACTGCATGCACGGTGGGGCACGGCAGGGATGGCCGGGGGAATGGGGCAGGGGGAGAGGAGGTGGGGACGTCAGGAAAGGAGTGAATGCACTGGGAGGAAGCGTAGAGCGTGTAGGTGGGGGAGGAGAGGTAGACGAGAGGGCAGGGGGGAAGAGAGGGACGGCACGGCACGGTTCGACAGGCAAGGTGATGCAAAAAGAAGAACCGTTGTTGCAAAACAAGGCCGGATTCTCAACCGTAGAACAGTATGCACCGAGAAGCTTTAGCAGGATCACCACAGCAAGACGCAGCAGCTTGGGTTAACACCTGGCGTTAGTTGGGGAGCGCGGGAGAAAAGGAGGTGGGTGGGCAGAGGGCACACCTGAGTTGGGCGAGCTGAGGGCGACTATGGGCCTGACAACAGAGTCCCAGCCAAGCATGAAGACAGCAGAGTCGGTAGTGAAGAGCAGTGCGGGGCCCACCCACAGACACGAGGTGAAGTGAGCAGCCGTCAAGGAAACACGGAGTGCAGAGAAAAAAGGTGTGGAAGAAGGACGTGGAGCATACGAGAGGAGGGGAAGGAAAGCAGCAAAGGAGGGAGGGAGGAGGGAGCGAGCGAGTGGAAGCGGGTGGAAAACACGGGAGAGGTTTGGGTTGGAGAATAAGGGCGACAGTGAGGGAAGTGCTCTGAAGGGAGAAAACGATGACAGCGAGAAAGCGACAGAGAAAAATAGAAAGGAAAGGAGGAGCACGAGAAAGAGCAGGGTTGGATGGGAGGGAGCGGGGGCTTTGAAGGAATTGTTGGTGGGATATTGGAGGGTGGGAGTCGCGGGAGGAGGCGGTGGTGCTGGCGAGCACGGAGAGGTCAGAGGCCACTATAAGCAGACGCATGGTGGTCATCACCGCTGCCACATGCCCCGTCACTGCCTTCTGCCACCACACCTGCCACCATGCACGCACGCACACGGAGGGTTTCGAGTCAACTCGGAATCAGCAGTTACAGAGCCGAGTGAAGTGATGAAGGTGAGGCGAATTAACGAGTGAGATGAGAGTGGTGATGGGGTATGCGGGAAGTGATGTGAGTGGAGGGTGTTGCGCGAGTGGGTTTTGAAAGAAAACGAATGATAGAAGCGGGAGCAGAGGGCATGCGAAAGAGAAGGCAGAGGCGAGACAGGTGCAGAAGGAAGAGCATGGACAAGTTCAAACATGGGTTGAGATTGATCAAAACAAACCAAAGGGCAGCAATGGTAGGGCGCCAGGGGACAACAGGCCAGCCCAGCAAACAGAAGGGGGAGGCACACACAACTTACTCTCCCACCCTCCCCCCCTTTTCCTTCCCATTCCCCACTTCATTTCTCCTCAACGCATCAAATCTTCAAACGGGTCCCCCAACCATCACATCACATCACACCACATCATACTTAACGCCGCGCAGTACTGCCACAGCTACAGATACAGCACAGCACCGCACGGCACATCACAGCACAGCACTGAGACGAGAGACGAGGAGGTGGGCGAGTGTTGAGAGAACGTGAAATCACCTGCAGCACGGTTTCCCCGAGCTTGAGAGGGAGGTGGGCCTTGTCATGCTTGCGAGTGGAGAGCCACATGAGTCCGTCCGCCTCCACCAGGTCGCCTGCTGGCCGCCCGTACTCATCCACGAGCACGTTCACCATGCCCAGGTGGCTGCCCAATGCCACGTACAGCAGCGAGTCCTCTGCCCTCACATGCACGTGTTCATGCGTTGGGGGGTTGTGCGGGGGGGACGGGAGGATAAAGGGGGGGTTAATGAGAGGAAAGCAAGGGATGGGAAGGAGAGAGGGTGAAAGGAGTGGAGTTGCTTGAGGGAGGGGAAAGGCGACAACAAGAGGACAAACAGAATAACACTTTACACACACAGCCCAAGCAGCACGCTGGTTCTCTTGCTGCCTCCAAGCTAGTACACCCCCTTGTGCCCGTACACACGCACCCATGGGCGTGGGAAAGACGCGGTGCACAGGTGTCTCAAACGTGAATTCCACAGGCCCCTCCTGCCCCTTAACCGCCTGCTTCAGCTCCACCTCCTCCTGCACCTCGTCAAACCGGCTCCCAAACCCCGTGAACGTCGTCTCTGACTCGTCTCCCCCCTTCTCCTTGCCGCTGCGCTGCTGCTGCTCGTCCTTCTCCTCCTCCTCCTCCTCCAGCTCCTGGGGGGACTTGTTGGGGTCCTGCAGCGGCAGCAGCGTGAGCACGTAGCCTGTCTCGCCCAGCAGCGCCAGCTTCTTGTCGTGGTGCCCTATGAACGCCCCGTCACGAGCTTGGATGTCTGGGGAGGGGGAGGGGGTGGCGGAGGAGGGAGAGAATGAGAGCACGTGATAAGGGCGGGGCGCTCTATGGGCGGATGTGGATATTGGCGTCTGCCAGGCCATGGGGGGGCGTGCTTGCTGTACATGAAATGAAATGATGCAACAGGCACACTCGTTTTCACAGCTCCACACATTACCCTTGCTCTCAGTTCGGACCTCCAAGTTCCAGCTGGTGACAACCGAAGTACCCGCAGCCCAACCACCCCAACCCACTGTAATTCGAAACCATCTCCTACCCCCCCTCCCCCCATGTCCCCCCCCTCCCCCCATGTCCCCCCCCTTCCCCCATCCTCCTTCAGCAGCAAGGCATGCATGCCTTATAGAGCCCCACCAGTGAGCGTGTCGAGGCCCTCTCCCAGGGGCTCCATGACGTCGAGGTAGCGCTGCAGCACCATGGACACGCCCCCTCCGCCTGCCGTGCGCGCCGCCTCAAAGAACACCAGCATGCACTGCTGCTTCTCGCTGTACACCATGTGCGTTGCCCTCCTCTGCTGCCCCTTGCCGTCCTGCCCGCCGCACCGACGGGTGAAGGGGGGTGATTGGAGAAGGCATGGGTAGATAGATGGTTGATGGGCGGGAACAAGTGTAGGGAAAGAGATGAGAGGGAGGGATGGTGGGGAACGGAGAGAAAAGGGGTTGGGCGAGAGGGGCAGGGGAAACGAGGAGGAATAGGTGATGGAGAACAGACATGGACTTTAAAGGTAAGTGTGTGTGCACGTGCACTCACACACAGTCACCAAAATACTCAAGCCCACGCAACCACTCCCACCCGCTCCCCCATCTCCACACACAAATACAGAGAGCAGGCGACGCACCACAGGCGGCAGTTTCTTGAGGCTGGAGAGCACGCCAGTGGCGAGGCTGAAGGAGACGATGGAGCAGCCGTCCATGAGGGCAATGCGCGAGGGGAAGCGGAAGATGGCCTGCTCGCTGTTGTAGAACAGCAGTGGCGCATGGAACGGCTGCTTGGCCCCCATCCACACGCACACACATCCCCCCGAAAAAACAAGGTTTTGGAGCGGTAAGGGAGGGGAGGGAGGTAGGGAGAGTGGGAGGGGAGGGGAGCGGAGGGGAGGACCAGGCCGAAGAGAGGATGGTTGAGTGTGATGGGAACAAGCACAGTCACACTCACGCTTGTAAAGCATGATGGCAGGAGGAAGCACATGTGACACCCGAATGGCAGGAGGAAGCACATGTGACACCCGAATGGCAGGAGGAAGCACATGTGACACCCGAATGGCAGGAGGAAGCACATGTGACACCCGAATGGCAGGAGGAAGCACATGTGACACCCGAATGGCAGGAGGAAGCACATGTGACACCCGAATGGCAGGAGGAAGCACATGTGACACCCGAATGGCAGGAGGAAGCACATGTGACACCCGAATGGCAGGAGGAAGCACATGTGACACCCGAATGGCAGGAGGAAGCACATGTGACACCCGAATGGCAGGAGGAAGCACATGTGACACCCGAATGGCAGGAGGAAGCACATGTGACACCCGAATGGCAGGAGGAAGCACATGTGACACCCGAATGGCAGGAGGAAGCACATGTGACACCCGAATGGCAGGAGGAAGCACATGTGACACCCGAATGGCAGGAGGAAGCACATGTGACACCCGAATGGCAGGAGGAAGCACATGTGACACCCGAATGGCAGGAGGAAGCACATGTGACACCCGAATGGCAGGAGGAAGCACATGTGACACCCGAATGGCAGGAGGAAGCACATGTGACACCCGAATGGCAGGAGGAAGCACATGTGACACCCGAATGGCAGGAGGAAGCACATGTGACACCCGAATGGCAGGAGGAAGCACATGTGACACCCGAATGGCAGGAGGAAGCACATGTGACACCCGAATGGCAGGAGGAAGCACATGTGACACCCGAATGGCAGGAGGAAGCACATGTGACACCCGAATGGCAGGAGGAAGCACATGTGACACCCGAATGGCAGGAGGAAGCACATGTGACACCCGAATGGCAGGAGGAAGCACATGTGACACCCGAATGGCAGGAGGAAGCACATGTGACACCCGAATGGCAGGAGGAAGCACATGTGACACCCGAATGGCAGGAGGAAGCACATGTGACACCCGAATGGCAGGAGGAAGCACATGTGACACCCGAATGGCAGGAGGAAGCACATGTGACACCCGAATGGCAGGAGGAAGCACATGTGACACCCGAATGGCAGGAGGAAGCACATGTGACACCCGAATGGCAGGAGGAAGCACATGTGACACCCGAATGGCAGGAGGAAGCACATGTGACACCCGAATGGCAGGAGGAAGCACATGTGACACCCGAATGGCAGGAGGAAGCACATGTGACACCCGAATGGCAGGAGGAAGCACATGTGACACCCGAATGGCAGGAGGAAGCACATGTGACACCCGAATGGCAGGAGGAAGCACATGTGACACCCGAATGGCAGGAGGAAGCACATGTGACACCCGAATGGCAGGAGGAAGCACATGTGACACCCGAATGGCAGGAGGAAGCACATGTGACACCCGAATGGCAGGAGGAAGCACATGTGACACCCGAATGGCAGGAGGAAGCACATGTGACACCCGAATGGCAGGAGGAAGCACATGTGACACCCGAATGGCAGGAGGAAGCACATGTGACACCCGAATGGCAGGAGGAAGCACATGTGACACCCGAATGGCAGGAGGAAGCACATGTGACACCCGAATGGCAGGAGGAAGCACATGTGACACCCGAATGGCAGGAGGAAGCACATGTGACACCCGAATGGCAGGAGGAAGCACATGTGACACCCGAATGGCAGGAGGAAGCACATGTGACACCCGAATGGCAGGAGGAAGCACATGTGACACCCGAATGGCAGGAGGAAGCACATGTGACACCCGAATGGCAGGCAGACTGGGGAAGAGGGCGAGGGTGGGAGCTTACATGGGCGACAGGCAGGTCGTTGGCGGGCTCGAGTGGGTCGAGCACCTGGATGAGCGGCAGCGTGGTGAGATGCCCCGCCGTGTCCAGTAACCCCCCATGCGTGGGCTGCGGTGCAAGGAGGGCGTGGGACACAGGGAGTGGCGAGCGGAACAGTGACACGTGGAGCGAGAGACACACACATGTCGGACCGGGGGTGTCAAGAGGATATGTGCAGACGATGAAGGGTAAGTAGAAATGGATGAGAAGCAGGGTAGCGGGTAAGTCACTCACCCCATACAGGTAAGCCTTGCGTGCAAAATCCAACAATGTAGGCTGAGCGAGCCTGGGGTAGTGGAAGGGGGGAAAGGGGGTGGGCACGAGAAGCCATCACCCTCCGAGTCTATGGAGCCAGCCAGTGTTTATGCCTTCATGCCTCCCATACGCTTTACAAGAAAATATAGGTCATGAACCGTGGGCAGTAGGAAAAGATAAGGTACAGTCATTAGTGGCAAAACGGCAGAAGCAGAGAATCTGTGGGGCGTGCAGTACAGTAGCATGTGGCATACATAAGAGCTGATCCATGCCGTGTTGCTCACTTGGTTTGGCCGCGTGTCAGCACCAGCTGCTCCTGAAGCTGCTGGTCGGACATTAGTGCTGACGGCCCCAGTGATGACAGCTTATCACGCTGGCTCGCTGCAAGGTACAAGGCACACACAGGCGAGAGCAGGGAACCAATGTTTTGCACTAGCAAAGGTACGAGAAAATAGCACAGATCGTCGGCTCCTCTCATCAGATAGGCGACCCGAGCTGACAAATATGCCAAGTCTCTTCAACTCGGGTCAAACAGTCACACCAGTTCTGCGCACGAATCTGGCAGCAGGTTGCCAGATCTGCAAACATCCAGCGAGAGATGGCAGATTCGTTCGGATCTGGCAGATGGCCACACGCCGCACCAGCTCGTCTTGGGTCCACCGGCTCGCCTCGCCTACAGCGGATGAGCCATGAGCCGGATCAGCTGCCTCGCCTCGTCAGCCCACAGGCTCGTTGCGGCTCGAGACAAGGCGGCTCGCCTCAGCCCTCTGCTCATGCCCAGTCCTCCGCACAAATATATAATATCATATCGAATCGTTCTATTGTCTCTCATTTCCTATGCGTCCCATAACCGTAATTTCCTCCCTCTCCCCCCTCTGAAATTTCTCCATACGTCCTCCGTGCGTGCAACTCCCCCACGCCCCTTGGCATTGGCGGCCGTGCTCCCTGTGTGTGGCCTCACCCGGGTCTGGAGCACCCCTGGCGGACTGCAGCATGTCCAGCAGCGCCCTGCGACTGGCCTTGCTGCGATTCTGCTCCCTCTTCCGCACCACGTCCTCTGCTGCCCCCTCCCTCTGTTGCCACCCGCATGCCACACACAGCACACACAGGTACACACCCACATCCCCAACAAGAGACACATGTGCACAGGGGCAAGCGCTCGAGTATGTAACCACAGCAACATCATTGCAATCCCACTCAGATACCCATGCACAGAATGATTACAGATGGACAAAACAGAACTGAAAACGGACTACACCAGAAAATACATGACTTGAGATTCAGAGTGAGAGAAATCAAGGGCACTGAGCGTTGCAGGAAATGAAAGGGTGCGTACGAGGAAGAGCAGGAGGAGGAAGTTGAGCGTGGGGTGCACGTGCAGGGTGCGGATGCGAGGCACAGGCACCACGGACTGGCCGCCTGCCTGCACCAGCAACCGCTCCACGTCCACCTCCACCGCCTCTGTTGCCCACACACACAAGACGCGGCCCCCACACGCCATGCACAGGAGACGGGGTGGGGGGGGATGAGGAGGACTCGGAGGATAAAGTTTTTGCAGGGCAACCAGATGGAGAACGAAGTGGGGAACGGAGGGAGGAGGAGGGGCACAGGAGGTCGTCATAGTGGTGTGTAAGGGAGCAAAGGCACTGCGGTGCTTGTGAGGGTTACCGTGGTGCTGAAATGAGAGAGGCGATGGTGGTGCAGCGTACCGTATTCGTGAAAGAAGTGTGAGTTGGAGGCGAGGGAGAGAGCGGGGTTGTGGTGGATGTGGGGGGAGTAGGCCTTGACGGTGCCATCACGAGTGAGCACCAGCAACAACTCCAGTGGTGCATGCCACACACACGCCATCACTGCCACCACCGCCACCTGGAGACTGCATCACCTCACCAGTGCAGACACCAGGGAGCAATCCCAACCGCAGAACAAAGGGAAGAAAAGGGAGAAAGGCAGTGCGGTTGTGTTTCAGAATCAGAGAACCAATGTTACATGAGAGCAGAGTGCGGAAATGACGGATACGGCTGCAGTGGGTGCATGGGGTGTGCTTACAATCCGATGAGATTGGGGCGAGCAGGCACAGAGACGTCCCATGCGAGCAGTGAGCCCGAGCGATCGCCCACAAAGATATGGTCCAGCAGGTGATGGCACACCATGGCTGCCGCCCCCATCAGCTTCACTGACGGGTCGTCCACTGAGGCACAGGCGGCAATGGGACGCGGGAAAGAAGCAGAGCCAGCAGTGAGTGAGTTCGGAACGAGAAGGTGGCAAACAGAAACAATCGCTCTGTGAAATGGTGGTCTGTTAAAAAGGGTATGGTGCATGTGAGGAAACTAGGAAAATGGGTATGGTGCATGTGAGGAAACTAGGAAAATGGGTATGGTGCATGTGAGAAAACCAGGAAAATTAGCACGGAAAAGACGGTGTATACATGGGGATAGGGGTCCCATGCGAGGTGAGACAGACAGAGAGAATTAGGATGGGATGGTGGGTGGGAACAAAAGGGGGCATGTCTGACAGGAGAGGGTGTAGAGCAGGTTGAAGGAGGTGACATGGTGGGCCCGGATGACGCCCTCTGCGTATGCCACAAACTGATTCACACACATGCACGATGTATGCACAGGGGGGAGCAGACACAAAGGGTGGAGAACAATCAGGTAAGGGTGGTTAAAAATGAGTATCAGAGGGATGCATGGCGTCTCCATGTGGCTAATTTCAGCAAAATAAACAAAATAGAACAACCCAGATAGCTTATCAACCGTGCATCTACTGTCCTGTGCCCTTTCCCCTCTTTGCTCCATGGTGGCTGCTGTGGTTCTCACGAGCACAGGGTGGCGCGGATGGCATGCGAGGGCAGTGATGGGCTTCTTGAACTCCGTCTTCAGCTTCGTGGCTGGCCGAATGCCCTCCAGCACTCCCACCACTGCACACATGCACGCACCGCGCAAACAGAAGCTGATTCGACCTATTTGGTTGACTGAGAGTACTGTCCCTGACGTGCTATGGAGAAGAACCGGGTCCTCTAAAGATCATGGAACAAATAGGCACCTTTTCACAAATCACCAGCTAAATAAGGACACGCAGGCGGACAGCGAGGTGGAGGCACGCAGGCAGGCAGCAGGGGAGAGGGGCAGGAGGGGGGCTGACCATGTAAGGAGGTGCGTCTGTGCGCGGCAAAGAAGGCCCAGGGGCGATGGGCGCATATCGCCAGGTGCACTTCGGCGGGCTTGTCGCCACGGCGGTCAGGAGGGGTGAAGAGAATGGCTGTGAGCTCGCTGTCATGGTCCCAGCACCGGATGGTGTGGTCCTGGTGCCCGTGCGTCACATGAGGGGCATGAGTCAAAGCACGGATACGGAGACATATGAGAAAGGTTCGATTCAGAAGGGACTTGAGCTTGTGGATTGATGGAAAGGGAGGAGGGACAGGTGGCTCCAGGTGTTAAAGCAAGTGCCGAAACAGGGGCTGATTCAGCTATGTATTAGTAAAGAAGGAAGAGACCATGTTCCCGTATAATTCAAGGCCCTCCAGCCCAACTAGGCCCTCCGTACTTCTCTGGACAGTTCGCCCCCTCTCCTCTTCCCCATCGCACCTCCATGACCGCCACGATGACGTGGCCGGCAGCGGGTGCGTACCCCATGCGCACCACGGGCCCTCCAATGTCCATCTTCGCCAGCTGGCATCCCGTCAGCAGATCGTACTCTGGCCACACGGCGGAAGCATGAGCGACGGGGAGAGGGATGGGGAAGGGAGTGGAAAGACATACGGAACGAACGATAAACAAGGTGTATGAAGGAGAACTGGCAGCTGGAGTGCTATGGTCAGGAGTCGAAATTCCGGTGAATGGTTGAAATTCAGCGGAAGGGAGTTCGTAGCAAAAAGCCATTCTGGGACAGTTAGCCCCACTACCTATAATCGAGCGTCCAACGGAAACGGACACCAGGGGTTGTGTTGGATGGAAGGCAGCGGCTTGCGCGTGTGCGCCCACTTCTAGATGCCGCAGCGTCCGCCACTCCATCGCGCCGCTATTGTCTCTGTCCCCACCTTAATTTACCGTAGCCCTACTTTCGTTGTCCTCTTAAAAGTGGAAGGTCGAGGGCTTGATAGCTATGTGATTAGTTGGTATCAGTGAAGTACGCATGAAACCAACGAATCTCGTGATCCCGTGGATAAGAGCTAGCGCTCAGCCCAAACTTTAGAAAACAGGGGATCAAGCTCTACGTCTCGTAGGAAAGAGGAACGAGGTAGATTCGCATCAGCTAGACCAGCTGGAGCAACGTCCGCCATGATGGACTTGGTGCATAGTACGGCGGGGTGGGGTAGACCAACGAAATCGTTCTGACAAAACGGAAATCACTGCAAGGCTTCGTCCAGTCCTGCCAAAACAAGCAGTCCGCGAGGCAGTAGTGTACATTCGATGGCTGCTGGCGACTATCAACTCAAAATATGCCACTCCACGACCACGATGCATCTGCCTCTGCTCGAATCAACTTGGTAAGAGCAGCCAGGATCAGAGGTGAGTGAGCCATGGAAGGAAGGGTGCGACCAGTTTATACCATATCTATGTCAAATATTTTAGTTATAGGCTGTAGTGAGTTGCATTCTAGAGGGTACAGATGCTAGGGTTTCCTATTTGTTGTCAAACAATATATGCATGTTTAGGTTATCTAGACTGTATGGGGGTTAGCACTAGGGGGTACAATATTTCTCTCGACATTCTTCTTGTACCCCCCCCTTGACCTAATCACACCATCACTTCCTAGTATTCTAACATGGTATTAAGAGCTAGGACGGCCCTAGCCTAGGACCGTAATTAAGGGCCCACCACATTCGTTTTCACCTGCCCGACCGTTAGTTTCTGCCCTGCACAGCGTTTCGCGCTGCCCTGCCCTTTTCTGCCGTGCGCAGCCCGTACAATCCGAGTAGGCCCGAGCACAGCCCGTACAGCCCGCGCCAAGCCGTCGCGCAGCCCGTACAACCCACGCCAGGCCCGCGCGCAGCCAGTACAGCCCGCGTAGGCCCGTCGCGAAGCCCGTACAGCCCGCGTAGGCCCGTCGCGAAGCCTGTACAGCCCGCGCCAGGCCGTCGCGCAGCCCGTACAGCCCACGTCAGGCCCGCACGCAGCCCGTACAGCCCGCGCCAGGCCCACACGCAGCTCGTACAGCCCGCGCCAGGCCCGCACGCAGCTCGTACAGCCCGCGCCAGGCCCGCACGCAGCCCTTACAGCCCATGCCTGGCCCGCACGCGGCCCGTGTTACTGCTGCACTCACGCTGCTGCTTCGCTGCTGCGCCTGAACTGCTGCTGCAGTGCTGCTGCCGCGCACTGCCCTGCACCAGCTACGCCGCCCCTGGAGCAGCCGCCCCTGGACCCAGAGCAACCGCCCCTGGCCCCTGAAGCAGCCGCCCCTGGTGCAGCCGCCCCTGGACCCTCGAGCAGCCGCCCCTGGACCCAGAGCAACCGCCCCTGGCCCCTGAAGCAGCCGCCCCTGGACCCAGAGCAGCCGCCCCTGGCCCCTGAAGCAGCCGCCCCTGGACCCAGAGCAGCCGCCCCTGGCCCCTGAAGCAGCCGCCCCTGGTGCAGCGGCCCCTGGCCCCTGCAGCAGCCGCCCCTGGTGCAGCCGCCCCTGGACCCTCGAGCAGCCGCCCCTGGACCCAGAGCAGCCGCCCCCGGCCCCTGAAGCAGCCGCCCCTGGTGCAACCGCCCCTGGACCCTCGAGCAGCCGCCCCTGGACCCAGAACAGCCGCCCCTGGCTCCTAAAGCAGCCGCCCCTGGTGCAGCCGCCCCTGGACCCTCGAGCAGCCGCCCCTGGACCCAGAGCAGCCGCCCCTGACCCCTGAAGCAGCCGTCCCTGGTGCAGCCGCCCCTGGACTCCGTGCAGCCGCCCCTGGACCCCGCGACGCCGCCCCTGGACCCGCGTCGCCGCCCCTCGCCCGGCGAGCGCCTGCTCTTCCCGCCACTGGTGAGCACCTGCCTTGTTAGCGCGCTGCCGTGCCATCTGCCTGCCTGCCTGCCTGCCAGCCTGCCTGCCTGTCTGCCTGCCTGCCTGCCGCGCCTGCCCTGCCCGCGCTGCTACTGCTGCTACTTCTGTTACTACTGCTACTGTTACTGCTGCTACTGGCGGTGGCCAGATGCAGCTCCAGCGACGTCCACGCGAGTCTCTCCCGTCCCAGCAGCTTCGTGAGTGGTACGCTAGTTGGGGTTGTGGCGGTAGCCGTCGTAGCTGTCGCCCTGGAGCTGGTCAGTTGGGAGCGTCTGGCAGTAGCCAGCTGCAGCTGCAGCGGCGTCCACGCGAGACACTTACGTCCCAGCAGCTTCACGAGTGGTACGCTCAGAGTAGAGGGTCTTTGAGTACCGTTCGCTGCCCGTACGTCATTCGCACAGGTGATCGGACTGGTCAGGCTTGCGGGACGCTTGGTCACACACAGTCCCGCTGCTTCGCCCGTCTGAGCGACGCCTGGCGTACCGAGTTTGGCGACGAGGCTGAGCTCCCCACCTGGCTGGAGCTGCTTAGGCAGAGGGTAGATATCTTTGCTCTTGACTATGATGCTATTCTCACTGCCATGTATGCATTGCCTACTAGTGCTGACCGTGCCTGTTACCTGTGCGTACCGCCTGACCCAGGTATAGAGCCTGCTGCTCTAGGTGCTGGTGAGGCTGCTGCCCTAGGTGCTGGTGAGGCTGCTGCTCCAGGTGCTGGTGAGTCTGCTCTCTCAGGTACTGCGCCTGCTGAGGCCTTGTACACCTTCACACTTGACTCAGGTGCTTCCCGCTCCTTTTTTCGCGACAGCACCACCCTCACGCCGCTCCGTCGGCCGGTTGCAGTCTCCCTGGCAGACCCCTCTGGGGGTCCAGTCCTTGCGCACTCCTCCACGGTCCTGCCGTGTCCGGCGGTCCCGTTTGGCTTCCTGTCAGGTCTTCACCTCCCCTCGTTCTCTACGAACTTGGTGGGTGGTGCTGACCTCCAGGACCAGTGGGTTGACCAGTTCACCCCTGGAGGTCAGCGTGTGACCCACTGTACGTGCTCCCGGACTGGTCGGCACCTGGCCACGTTCACTCGAGCGCCTGGCTCGAGTCTGTACACACTGACTACTGTGTCCCCTCATGTAGCTGCGTCTGCGTCTGCGTTTGCGTCAGGTCAACTAGCGGCCCCCTGCTTGTGTCGCGCTTTGTCGCACCAGACCCTCCTTTGGCACCACCGCCTTGGTCACCCCTCGGTGCAGCGCCTTCGTAGCATGCACCGCCGTTTCCTTGTCTCTGGACTTCCAGAGACTCTGCCTCCTCTACCACCCTCGCCTGCTCCTCCCTGTCTTCCCTGTGTCGAGGGGCGGCAGCGCGCCGCTCCTCACTCCTCCTCGTTCCCTCCCACAGAGGCTCCCCTGCAGATTCTCCACCTGGACGTGTGGGGCCCAGCCCGCGTCCGTGGACAGGGCCACGAGCGGTACTTCCTGCTGGTCGTCGACGACTACACGCGTTACACCACGGTCTTCCCCTTGCGCAGCAAGGGGGAGGTCCCTGATGTTTTGATCCCCTGGATCCGCGCTGTTCGTCTCCAGCTCCGCGAGCGGTTCCAGTCGGACTTTCCTGTCCTGCGTCTGCACTCTGACAGAGGTGGTGAGTTCTCCTCAGACCTCTTGGCAACCTACTGTGCGGAGCACGGCATCCGCCAGACGTTCACGCTTCCGGCCTCTCCGCAGAATGGGGTTGCTGAGCGCCGCATTGGCTTAGTCATGGAGGTCGCTCGTACCTCCATGATCCATGCGGCTGCCCCCCATTTTCTGTGGCCGTTTGCGGTCCGGTACGCCGCGCATCAGCTCAACCTCTGGCCCCGTGTCTCCTTGCCGGAGACCTCGCCCACACTGCTGTGGACGGGGAAGGTTGGCGATGCGTCGCGTTTCCGGATATGGGGTGCTCGTGCCTTTGTCCGCGATACCACCGCGGACAAGCTCTCCGCCCGCGCTGTTCCCTGTGTCTTCCTTGGCTTTGTCCCTGACGCGCCTGGTTGGCAGTTTTACCACCCCACCTCGCGCCGTGTCTTCCCCTCTCAGGACGTCACGTTCGACGAGTCGGTTCCCTTTTACCGTCTCTTCCCCTACCGCACTGCCCCTCTCCCCCCCCCGCCGCTCTTCCTCGCTCCAGGTGCTCCCCAGGTAGACCCCCTCCCCGCTCCCGGTCCTGCTCCTTCAGGTGTGTCTCAGGTAAACCCTCCTCCCTTGACTGCACCGGTTGAGGTCACTGGTGACTCGGGTCCTGCTGAGGGTGGTCCTGCTCGGGGTGCTGCTCCTGGGGGTGCTAAGCCTGGGGGTGCTGAGCCTCGGGGTGCGGAGCCTGGAGGTGCGGAGCCTGGGGGTACGGAGACTGGAGGTGCTGAGCCTAGGTGTGAGGAGTCTGGGGGTGCTGAGCCTGGGGGCGCTGAGGCGTCTGTTGAGCAGTCTCCCTGGAGCGGCCGTCTCCGTAGTCGCTCCGCTGGTGCCTCGCCGCTGCACTCTCGTCGTCGACTCCCTCTCTCCCCACAGCAGCTGCTTGAGTGGTACGCTGGCCGTCAGGGTCGCGCTGCTGGAGCTAGGGGCCCTGCTGCGGGAGGCGCTGGAGCTGGTGACTCTGCCACTGGAGTTGTTTCTGCTGGAGGTACTTCTGCTGACGTCACTGGAGCTGGGAGTGGTGCTGGTCCCGGAGGTGCTCGTACTGGAGGTACTGGAGCTGCTGGGGCTGGAGGTGCTGAGCCTGAGGGTGCTGCTGCTGGAGGCACTGAGGCTGGAGACCCTGGGACTGGAGGTGCCGGTTCTGGGGGTGCTGCTGTTGGTGGAGCTAGTCCTGGAGGAGCTGGCGCTGAGGGTTCTGGAGCTGCTGGAGGTGCCGGAGCTGCTGAGGGTGCTGGCGCTGGAGGTTCTGGAGCTGCTGGAGGTACTGGCGCTGGTGGCGCTGGAGCTGGAGGTTCTGGAGCTGCTGAGGGTGCTGGCGCTGGAGGTTCTGGAGCTGCTGCGGGTGCTGGCGCTGAGGGTTCTGAGTCTGCTGTTGCG